TACAACGATTGCATCATTCTTTCTCGTCACTGTCGCAGCAGCCGGGTCGTCTCCGTCTTTTTGTGTGCACTGCATCGTAACATGTGTACAATTTACACTTTATTTCCACATACGTAGTTGCTCATAAACTAATATAATTTATCTGTGTGTGCGTAGTGCACAATTGGTGCTGTTGTCATCAGATATCTCTGAGCTGTCCTGTGACCGGGTACATGCAAGGGGAACGCAGGCTCTTGCAGGACCTCACGTTCAGCGCCTTCCCCGTAAGAGGACATAAGGGGGCAGTCAAGGCCTACAATGTCCGCGTGGCGGTTGGCCCCAAGCATCAGCGGGAGGGTAGAAGACTCAGTCACATAATCACGCCGCCTGGGTCACCCTGCCGAGTAACCACCGATGCGGAAAAGCCTCGGTGGGCGACCCCGACGGCGCGACACCTCCGGTGTGTTTCCTGATTAAACGTGCCAGATTCCCATCCCTCCTGGGTGTATGCTGAGATGTGCATCTTAAATATAGTACAGTACAGTACAACGATCGGCATGAAAGCTTTTTAACCTCCACTGAATGTTGCTCTACCAGCCACCATCACCCATTTTATACAGAACTAAATGAACCTGAAGTTGCCCAAAACCCCGAAGAAGCTCCGATTACGAACTCGACGAATTGACGATCAGGACCTGCTGTTGACTTATAGATGATCTATTACTGCCATCTGAAGGATAATAGACTGTCTTTACTACTAATTGCACTGTATGCCCTTAGTCAATTGAAACAGAAGAGTCAAGGGCCGAGGAAAGTGAAACGAATACTCCAATACAACTTCCTTTCCAAACACAATCGTGAAGCAAACAGCTCAGGTGTTTTACGATATAGTAGACAAATTGAGATTAGTCCAGCCGATATGAACTCACCGCACGTCTCATCCCATTCTATAGTTCCACTTATTCTTGCTTCAATTTCCTCCCTCAGATCACTACGACAGAACTTTGAATTATTCTGGAACCAGAACCACGGCTCAGGACCATACACTTCTATGTGTAGTAGAGCATCAATATTCCTCAGAATATGATTGTTAGTGATTCTCACGACTCTAGCTGAATAAAACGAATGATATGTTGATATGGAGCAGCTGTATTCAAAGCTCTGCTTACGTGCCCATCCTTGAACGACGAGACCTTTTGGTATTCCTAAGTATTCCTCAGTCACTCCATCAATGAGAACGGTGCCATGGACTTTTTTGACTCTTGACCAGACTTGCTTGTTGGTGTCATTTCTTGGCTGATATTCTACATCACCGATCAGTCTTGTACACCTCGTATCCTTCATAGCCATTTCCATTGTGCAGTCTTGAAAAAAATTATTGCAATTTTTCATCAATGGTTGGCTTATAACGCTCTTTCCTACTAAAAGATTCGATGGCCCTTGATTGTTACATTCGCATTCCTTACAATCATACAATCACACATTTTCAGGCATAAGAAAGGAACCATTCTTTTTGAACACAACGATAACAATTCACGGATCCCATGCCAGTCTCGAAGATTCTGAGTCTCTATGTAGAGTTTTTTCGATGACATCTACCCTGGGAAGTCACAAAAGAGCTGTTTAATAAATCTTCAGACCTCCCGTGCCGCCCCACTCTTACATTACATACATTCACAGACGCACACTTCCCTGTACATCATATTAGTAGACAACCAGTAAGCATGCTTAAGAAGTACCAAGTTGATCGAAAGGTATTGCTAGGATTTCCCCGTTTTTCTTATTTATTTATTCATTCAACATACAACCGGAATCAATGAACGACATAAATCACAATTAATGAGCGCCCGTGTTATGTCATCAAACTTTTTGGAGGTTTTCCTAGCCAGGAAACCTTTAGTCGGACGAACGAGTGATAATCAATCGGAGCAATGACAGAAATATATGAAGAGATAACATAAGGATGGGATAAGGTTTCCCAGACTACATGAGAGTCGAAGTTATCGTGAAGGAGGCGCACTTAAGCTTGTGTTGCCCGTGTTTTCCGGTAAGATTCTGTGATTTTCGAAAGTGGAGTGATTTGAATGGAAGGGGTGACCGTACTCCCTGTGGGAGCAGCTACAATACAGCATTTCCCCGAGTCCCAGGAGCAGCATAGAAGTACCTTTTTGGGGAGCTTGTCTGGTTTTGCATGCATGGAAGGATCTTCTCCCTTGAACAGCCATGCGGCATGGTGAGAGCTGGAGAGATAGGGGATCCAACTCTCATCTCCAGTAATTAGGTTTCCTAGAAACTCCTTGTGATGCTAGCGGAGAAGGATAGATTGTCATATGGATATCCGAGTCTACCATGTACCAGCCACCAAGATGTGGCGAATCCATCGAGTCAATACTTTTGGGTAGCCGAGGGCTTGGTGACGTTGTCGACTGTAAGTTTGTCACCCGAGCTTTGTAGTAGGACTGGTGGTGGTAGCCTCCGGTCGAAAACGGGCGGAGTCTTTCAATGCATGGGAACGGCCGACCGAGGTTTTTTTTCCTTCATAGCTCATGTCTCTTCTTGCGAAGCAAGTGCGGTGGTAGTCACTATGGTAGTAGTGCCCTAACCCAATGTGTGCGCACGGCGCACGCGCACGCGCCCTTATATATATAAAAACTGTCAAAAGGTTTTGCAACTATCACATGAAAGATCATGAATATCGATTGAAAATCGGAAATTTCGCTCTCCTCAAAAAACCCCTTTGAAACTTTTCGATCAACCTAATACTTAGGTTTGCGTAATAAACTCGTGCTTTTCACATTTATGCCGTTTTAACCATGCACACATATGCAAGTTTTCATACCTTGGTTCGTTCCGATGTCTATTTCGTTTAGCCTTTCCTGCCACTCTGAACCGAATCCACGAATATAAGGGAATTTCAGTATTCTATTAGCTTTGATAAGAAAATCCTAAAGCATGTAAATCAATTTGATATAACGTTGTAGGTGACAGCCATTCTATTGACTCACGGTGCTCTAGGACAGCCAATGCTGGTGCGTGTGCAAAAATAATGAAGGGCACATTCACCGCGCTGGGATGGAGCTGGTCTGAGCCGGATACTTTCCTCTAGCAGTTGTTGCGCTATTTGTACCACTACGCACTCACACGTGAATTAAGTTAGGGGCGGCCAGACTGTGATTAGACGCCATTGGTGATCCAAGATGCTTGGAGAAAGATGTGTGTGGAAGCTTGGTACCACTGGTCAGACCCTGATTGTGATAAAGATTAAGACAGAGGTAGTAACATGCAGAAGAAAGCCTAAGAAATATAATAGTAATGCTGCTAATAATGCTTATACAGCACAGCTCACAACATAAGTGTCTACTCTGTCAAGTTATCCCCAAACAATTAATAGCAATTAGTGTTGACTTGTCAAGTATTCGAACAAATAATTAGCTCCATCATTCGCTAGAAGTAGAGGTAATGCAGTGAGAACCCAGAACTGGATTATCAATGGGTGTTGACAATATAAGGTTCAGCATCATGACACCAGGTACTATCGACCTTTCACCCATTGATAGATTGCTGCAGTACGAACTGTAAATTGGAACTGTAATATGATTAAGAGTTCTCTTTAGAATGGTACTTATGATGAGACATAATTCACTTTCCATCGATCACCTGATCTCAGACCATTTTTCACAGCGAGTTTTCCTCTGATTTTTGGCGCAAGCGGAAGCCTACTTGGTATGTGAGTTTTGCGTTCGAAATGCTAGATAAGAATGGGCGTGACTTGTGACATGAACCTTGATCATGTTGTGTTATTAACTACGCTTACGGCGTATAAAAGACTCAGGAGAGTTCGATAACTCCGTCAGTTCCATTGTTTCAATCTCATTGTTATCTCCAAAACGCCACCCGCTGAATCTCTCGATCTCGCTGCCCGTTCTTGACTCTTCCGATGGTTTTGGAGCTTGGAAAGATGTACGGGTGAGACGTTGTCTGTGGGAAAAGAGAGTCAAGGGCCAAGTCAAATTAGTGGCCAAAAATAAAAGTTGTCGCATCGTTTCTTGCTTTTTGCCGATTATATAAACAGCTCTGTCTAATAGAACCACCAACTGCATATCTAGCAGTAAAGTCCCAAAACATCTGCCTGGCAACTGCTGCCAAGTTGAGTGATGGAAATATAATAATGACAGGAAATTCATTCATTCCATTCAGTCACATCAAAATTAAAATCATCAAATTCTATAAAGAGCAACAAAAGGGTGTGTAGAATATGCATTGTAGACTACCAGTTGGGCTGCTCACGCTAACGCGTGCACATCACCAAGTGAGCCGTAATGGTCAGTAAGATCAATATGAGCAATATTGATCTCAACGACCATCACTCACTTAGTGATGAACTTATTTCATAACGTGTTCGAGGGATTGTATTCACCTTCGGGAGCTCACTGATCAAATTTGCTATTGTTTACTTTTACGTGAGCAGGATTCCATAAAACTGCCGCCAATGAGTTTATCTTTACTTCAGCAGTTTTCTCATCTTTCTTAGTTTCACATGCACGGATATCTCATGCTCTTATTGTTTTCATCGTACCTCACTACACGCGGGCCTGTGTACTAGTCGATGGTGCGCTGCAGACTAATTACAAATAGCTGTGATGTTGTGTGATTGAAACAACTTGAAAGCAATGCTCATGCCCTTTCAAGTAATGATTCATTATCGTGAGCACTCACGGCTCCACGACCAAACTGGAACTTTTAGCAAATACGGGTTCAAGTAACGCCACCACCCTTCGATGAGGCGTTTGCGACCTAATGTGTTTTTAATGACCTCACGAAATGCCTCGCACGCTGTAGAATATTCATGAAGACTCACTTTTGTATTTCGTTTCTCATCTCCAATGAATACGAACTTCAATTTTGGGTTTCCATAGATCAGAAAAGAATATTCGTATTCTGAATAAAGTTCTTCTTAAATCTCGACAACATTAGTAAAGAGCCGAGGAAAACCCACCACAGAATTTCGAGTTCGGTAAAATAATAGTGCCGTTATCATAAATATATTCTAAAGTCGGAATAGACGCAACAACAACACAGCCTTCAATTCTATAAAATCCCTGAAGAAAAATTGGTTAGAATGGCGTTCCAGATACAGTCTGCGGATAATGTATTCCAGCGATATTTCCTTGAATAATTTTCTTTCCCATATGTCATTTAGCTGTATTGCCATAGATTTCTTGATATTAGAAAAGGAATGGAAAGATGGGGCGCTTTTTCTTTTGATCCAATGTCGTTGCTCTGTTGCTCCTCCATCCGCTGCTGCACTCGCTGCTATTCATATATCCATTTAATCCAGATAAAACAATGTAGAAAAAGAGAAGAAGCTGACTTGATGTTCCTACTTTCCGAGGCAAAACCAAGAAGGGACCTAACAAATTCTGTGCGACGTCTACGAACCCAGAGAGGTCTAAAATGGCACCACCGGAGTTTCGCACCGTAATCTACCGGACAACTTAGGCGTTGATCTCATTGTGGGTATCAGATTTCTAATTCGACTTCCTTTCACGATCACTACTACTCTCTCTGATATGCAACGGCGCCATGTTGATGACATCTGTTATAATTGTGAGCCTTTATACTGCCGG